CCATTGTTTGTTAATTAAAATGCAAGAATATAATGATTTGTAATCATCTTCTAGATATTCGAATATTTCAGCTAAAAGTTCAGATGAAAAATTTGTTAAAAGCATTTTCTGGATAATTTTTTTAAAAAAACAAAAAAAAATTCTTGTGAGGAGATATATAGTGATTTCATAGATAATTTTAATTATTTAAAACAACAATATAGTCCACTCTCTCTATAACGACTCTCTCTATAACGACCCTCTCTATAACGACCACTAAGTAAAATTTCTCTATAACGAACTTCCCTTTTGTCCCCGTTTCAATTTTTTATAATTAATTTCTCTCTCTATAACGACCATCTTAGTAAACTCTCTCTATAACGACCAAGAGCAGAGAAATTACATATAGGGACGGAGGGTTCGTTATAGAGAGAGTGAACTGTAAATTATGTTGCTAATTGTTCAACAACAAGTCTCATAATAGTTCCTTTGTTAATTTAATAAAACTACTTAACTCATAAAGTTAAATTAAATAAGTAAAAATCTAGAGGGTAGCAAACAAGTAGTAGTTGTTAATTTACATCATAGGTCTTCTATTATGCTATCATTATTTATTTACAACAAAAAAAATTGATTCTTAATTACGTCAAGTGGTTTTACTGCATTTTTGAACATAACTTACAATTCCGAGATGCCAAAAATACCAAAAAGTACAGTTCAAGACACCATTTCTCGTTATAAAAATATAGAAAATGTATATCCCCTATTGCTAAGACTTATAATAATAACGTTGTTAGTCAACAATAATTATTATTATACAGTTACAAGTATTAATGCGATGTTAATGTGAATATTTTCTCGTATATATATTAAAAAAAAATTTACCAATTTTTTTAAAAACTCTTCACCGCTTATATCAAATATTTTCCCAATATTATCAGTCATGATTTTTATCAGAAGCCCTGATGCATTATCCAATTTTTTCCGAATGTCAGCCGCCGAATCGAAACGATGCTGGTTTTTAAGAGTTTTTTCTCGTGATTCCAAAAATTCTATCAACTTTTTTAATTCTTCCGTAACATCAGACGGGTTTTTCATACTTGATAATAATTGATCGAAATTATTTTCGTTGGTTTTTAACTCAAATCTTCTCTTTTTTTTGAAGAGACACTCGTATTAGTATTAGCACTGATTTTAACATCATCATCACAAATTTTTATCTCGAAACTAGTATCACCATCTAATATAGTCAGGTTCGTGAAGGCGATGTCCGGAGTAACGTGCCAAGTAAAAGGATACTTCTTTGTAACTTTTCCATTTTTCCTAATATCCAATATTACGAAGTAATCAATCGGGATTTCCGAATATTGTCCACCTGTTTTTTTTTGACAATTGTTTTTAGTTTTTCCTATTTCTAATATTAAATATATACCAACCAAAAAGACTAATATTAATACCATTTTTGAATCTTTCGTAATGCTTTTTCATTTGATTACCGTTTACTAAAAATTCAATGGCCCATTTTTTTTCTGATACGTAAAGGTCTACTACTCCATCATTGGAATATAATTTTCCCACCTCTGGAGATAAGATCGATCCAGATGGTAGATAATTTTGTGCGGCTCTGTAAAATTCCATGACCCATGCTATTTCTAATAACGAGCCTTTTTTAGATCTACATTTTGTGCGGACTAACACATCCGGGTTTAACTTGGATAAAGTTTTTTTGACGAACTCCTTCAATTCATTATATATACATGTTCTAAAAAAGAATAGAACTCTACAACAAATAATTTTTTTGAGAATATCTCGTTATTACATTAAAACTAAATATAAAGACCTGTTCTATCAACTAATAATGCTATTTTTTTAAAAGGTAGGACAGAAAGTGACTTCTATACTTTTAAAATTTATGCAAAATTTAGGAGGTCTTTAGACCGAGCAAACTATATATTAATATTAATATATATGAGAATAAATTATATATATATATATATATTAATATCTAATAATATAAAATCCCGACGCTCCAAGTCGCTATATATAAATATACTTTAATTTCAATTTATTTAGTACATTATAAAGCTACATTATTTGAAATACAAAATATTGATAATATGCAATAAAAATATAATAATCATACAATATATGCATTTCTATTACTATTACTATTACTATTATTTCTATTACTATTACTATTATTACTATTACTATCGTTATTAAAACTAATACCAAGATTTTTAAAACTTTTTTCTAAATTTGAAGTCTCTTGAATATTATTAAAAGCCTTCGTAGCTACACATGTAAACTCGATAAGTCGGTTTTGGCCTAACTCGGCCAAAATTTTCCGCCCCTTTTTTTTACTATTTAAAA